TCCTTCTTATTTTCTTCCGTCATGATATAACGCCTGTTTAATACAGCCTATCGGACAGGAATTGAGAATGAACTTGGCAGACGGGTTATGACGAAAAGATGAAATTCTATTGTCATATAATGACCCCCCGCGGAAACATTCTATCAAAAGCAGTCGGAGGTGACAAGTGGTGTAAATTGAACGGCTGAACGACGGGGAAATGAAATCAAAATATTGAGAGTGATGGTGACTCGACTCTGCTGCCGTTTTGAGAATTTAGATGGACAATTACTGGACAGGAGATGGGATAATTATTACAAACAAGGCTAGATGATGATGATGATGAAGAAGGAGAAAAAGAAGAAGAAAGAGAAGAGGAAGAAGGAGGAGGAGGAGGAGAACAACAAGAACAACAAGAACAACAATAACAAGAACAAGAACAAGAACAAAAACAAGAACAAAAACAAGAACAAGAACAAGAATAATGTTTACTTGTAATTCAATGTTTTTAACAGTTTTCTTTGGTATTTCTCACTTTTCCTTCCTTATCCTTTCTTCTTTCTCTCTTGCTTAGAAACATTGTATTAAGCGCATTGTAATGTATTATTGTTATTTTTATTATTAAAAAGAACAAGAACAATAACAAGAACAAGAACAAGAACAAGAAGAAAAAGAAGAAGAAGAAGAAGACGAAGAAGAGAAGAAGAAGAAAAAGAAGAAGAAGGAGAAGAAGAAGGAGAAGAAGAAGAAGAAGAAGAAGAAGAAGAAGAAGAAGAAGAAGAAGAAGAAGAAGAAGAAAAAGAAGAAAAGGAGAAGAAGAAGAAGAAGAAGAAGAAGAAGAAGAAGAAGAGGAAGAAGAAGAGGAGGAAGAAGAAGAAGAAAAAGAAGAAGAAGAAGGAGAAGAAGGAGAAAAATAAGGAGATTAATAAGAAGAAGAAGAAGAAGAGGAATAAGAAGAAAAGAAGAAGAAGAGGAAGAAGAAGCAAATAAGAAGTATAAGGAGGAAAGAAGACTGAGGGGAACTACTGTATATGAAATAAAAACAGAAAATGGAGGGGTGGTTTCCTTAAAAAGGAGAAGGGACGAAAAAGAAGGGGAGCAACAAGAGGGGAAAAGGAGAATGGAAAATGTGGGACAAAGCAGAAGAAGAAGAAGGGTAAACGAAGGAAAGAATGTGGTTAATAAGGGGAAATGAAATAAAAATAATGATAAGAGTGATGACTCGTCTATTTGGACCCCGCTGCTATTTTAAGAATTTCTGATAAACAATTATAGACAGGAGATGAGATAATAAGGAATGTCTTAAAAGAGAACGCATAGGGTGGGGGTAATGTGGTGTGAGAGTGGGAAAAGGGAAATGTATTGGGTGTCGTGGTACAGTGGTTCATTCACAGGGCTCTCAATCCATGGGTTTGGGGTTCGAATCCCAGCCCGGCGCTAATGTCATTTGGCGAGTTATTAATCCACATTTACCACCCATTTGAAAACTCAATGGGGTCGGGGGGGGAAAAAAAAATCAATTTACATATAGGGAAAATAAAAACAAGAAGGAGAAGAGCTAGGAGGATGAGGAGAGGGAAGAAGAAAAAGGAGAAAACGAGGAAGAACAACAAGAACAAGAACAAGAAGAAGGAGAACAACGACAAAATTAACACCACCTCCATGATCAACAACAACGGCAATAATAACAAGAACAAGAACAACGTTGTTAAAAGAACAGTTGAAAATAAAAACTTAAAGGTATATTTGGCCCAATTGTTTATCTCTTTCCTTGATCTTGAATCCATAGGATGATTAATGATGAACTGTGTCAAACACCGACGATTTGTTATCTTAAAAGATTTGTTTGAAAGGTTTGAAAGGTGTGTGTTTACCTTTGTGGCTTATACAGGTATGAAACATCTAATTTGTTTAGCCAAAAGATTATCCGTGCCAAATATCTTTTCCGATTCGAGAGGATTGATTTCCGTCTCTGTTTGCAGAATCTTTGTTCGTGTTGTGGTCGAAGTTTTGAACTTGTGTTTCTTGTACCCTTCTCTTGTGTTTTTAGTAAAGTTGCTGCGTAGGACTGATTCGTTTCGTTTTAACTGATATATTCTAAAGATTGTTTGTTCAAATCTTTTGTTTTTCGAAAAGCATTTAAACGAGGAAAATATGTAGAGATATCAAAAGGCAGCTAGCACCGAACGATTACTATGCAAATGGCAGGCGCGGATCCAGGATTTCTTAGGGGAGGGGGCCCAATTTTTTTATTTTTTTTTGAAAATCGCGCCGGCCGAAAATTCGCTCAGTGGGGGGGGGGGGGGTTCAATTTGCACCCCCCCCCCCTTGAGCGCCAGGGGGGGGGGGGGGCCCAACCCCAAAAAATGTAAAAATCACGTGATTTTACATGATTTTTTTTCTCAAGGGGGGGGGGGGCTCGGGCCCCCCGGGCCCCCCCCCCCCTGGATCCGCCACTGGCAAATGGGTATTTGAGCAAATCGCAATGTTGCCAGTGATTAATGACACAAGAAACAAACCTTCAAATTTGGCTGTCCCCTATTGATGAGGAATCAACCTTGTATCGCGATGATATGTATTTTAACCTCATCTTCATTTGAATGGTGTTTAAGAAGAAGACGAGATGGAGGTTCTAAGGGTTTGGATGATGCTCCTATTTTTCTACTTTGCAATTGCTCAGGCTAGATCTATAAACCTAAAAGAAAAGGTAAGTCATTATTATGATTTTTGAGTAATCACGATTGCTTTTTACTAAACTGATCGCAGCCATGGATATCTTTATCTTATTCTATTTCAAATTTATATGCTCTTTATTTAGATTTATCTCCAATATTTTTAAAATGTGTTATTTATTTATCAAACTTATATTGATTTGTGTGTGTTATACAATGGCGTAGCGTTATTCCAGGTATTGGGGTAGGGCACTTGCATCACGGGGGCACCGATCTCATCCGGCAAAATTTCTTTGCTCATAATTCGGGGGGGGGGGGGGTTCTATATCGTCTACTTTTATCATCATTTTCCCATTTCTCTCTTCCCCATTTCTCTCTTTTCATCGTTTCCTTCTTCGCTCTTTTTTCCTTTATTCGAAGGGGGTACGTAGTTCCTGTGCCCCTTGTATCAACACATGCATATATTTATTTTCATGGACTTGATCGAACTGGAAGCTTACTCATTCACATATGCCCTAAACATAAATAGTTTTAGTCCAACAAAGACTCAGAGCATAATATTAGCCAAGAAAAAGGGTAAACTTGCTCTTCACTTTAAAAAATGGAGAACAGACTTTTAACTGTTGTTCAGATGATGTACAAACAATCGGAAGACATGTTCTTATGACATTTTCATTGTGCTTGTTTACACATTTATTTCTCCATTGCCACCTTCCTTTAATATCTTGTTCATGTCTCGTTCAATGCGATTCTTCTTTGATTATGATTATGATTGATTAAAAACTTCAATCGTATCAATCGCCTTTTGACATTGACAAAGTATGACTCATTCTTTAAGACGGAATAATCCTATTACTCCAGCAAATCAACAAAGATCTTGTCAAACTCTGTTGACACTCTCAGTTGATAATACGCTTAAGGTATTAGCGATTGCATGATGCTTGTACTTGCAAACAGTCATCATAACACTGCTGTAATGTAAGGATAAAAAATAAAACATTGGCAATACAAATGTTTTCATTCATGGTGAGAAAATTCATGGAAACTGTTCAAGACATTTTTCTCATCGAGTCATCAAACTAATAGTTTCGCATATGAGGGGTAATGAAAAAAAAGTCCAAACTGCTTTAGCCAGCTGTTGATAACCTATACAAAAATTGTTAAAAATAATCATAATGGATTTTATGAACGTTAATTTTTAGACACAATTTATAAATCCATAAAGTAATACATACATTTCTAACACACAGATACTAAGAATTTAAATCCAGAGAATCACTTTGTTAGTAGGCATCTAAATGGTATTTTGTTATTTTTTAATCAAGTGGAGTTCCCTTTTTGTATACCAAGCAAATAGACATGCATTTTACAGACTTAATTGCTTTATTTTCTGTGCCAAAAATTACAGGAGGGCAAAGTGCTGCAAAGAGCGGTTCGAGATTTATTCATGATATATCAAGAGGAACGCATCACGACAAGACTAGTAGGTGTGCTCGAAGGTAAAGCGGGGAAACCCCTGAATGAAAGTGATTATCACGTGACCAAGGCGTCAGGTGGGTGTGTCTCTCGCACTTTCTGTATTTCCGGTAACCCCCCTTCTTTTCTCTCTCTCTCTCTCTCTCTTTCTCTCTCTCTCTCTCTCTCTCTTCTCTCTCTTTTTTTCTCTCTCTTTCTCTCTTTCTCTTTTTATTTCTCTCCCTCACACTTCGTTTTTAGTAATGGAACCTTTCTATTTTGTTTAAATCTAATCTTCCTGCGTTACCATATTTTATATATCAAGTTTTACACTCGTACAAGGTAAAACAAATATCATTATCTGATTATGAAGGTGATCATACAGTGCATTATTTTATTTTAAATTGATAAATAAATGATGTTCAGCGTTATCTGCAACAACATGAACAATCAGCTAATCCATTAATTTTCCTAATAGGGCAACTATCTTTATCTGACGGAAACCGCAGTGATGACATATCTGACACATCTGCACCACTCCTGAATACAGACAAACCTGACACTGACGATGAAAAGATCGGCTTGCTTCTTCGACTTTATGCCATTTTGCGCGAACACCCTGTCAGAAGTGAGGTCAGTGAGATACATGTTTCCAATGATGACAAGAGCAATGAAAAACTTTCGGGAGAATTTGAAGATGGCGGTTTAAATGCGAGTTATCATTCCAGCCAGGACCATTTTTCTTCGATATCATTAAACGAAACAAATACCCCAGTGACTGGTGATGACGGTGATAAGAATGAAAACGAACGATTACTGTTAGCTAACAAAACCGTCACAAATGGAGAATGGCAATTAACTGATTCGTTGTCGAAAATTCGTGAGGATGATCACATGACGCTTGGGAATGAAACACGTGCGTCGGCCGACGATGTCGATTCCCCTAGCTTCGATGCCGATGGTGACGTCGCGAGTGTTGATTTACATGACAACGTATCCAGTCGAGAATATTCAGGGAGTAATGACGATGAGCCGGACCTCGAATATTTACTAGGATCGAGATCAGGTGAGAAGGAAGATGACAGCATGGACACTGAAGATGTCAGCAGAGGCGATGAAGGAAATGTTGATGAGTATGATTTCATCAACTTTAAACGGGGCGAAGTAGTCAAGCATGACAAGAGAGTGAATGATGATACCTCAACAAATGACAACATTTTTAACACAAATAGCCTTGAAGACGTGGATTATGACGAGGTAGAGGATGATGATGGTGAAAGCAATGATGATGATGATGGTGACGATGATGAGGATGGTGATAATGACGATGAAGAGAATTACGATAAATTTGCTTCGGTCATGAATCCAAATGATAGACCTACAGAGCATATAAGTGCTAATGACATCCAAGGGACACCTAATAATCCCATCATCGGAACAGATATGTACGACCATGGTGAACGTCTTAACGAAGTCGTTAATGATCATGGTGATGCCCACGGTCGAACATCGTTTAGAGATGAAGATGCTGAAAGATTCCTTCGCTGGTTGCTCGGGTACATCCTTAGGAGAATGGATGATGGTTCCGATTCAGAGAGGACCCCAAACAGTGATGATAAAACATTGTCTTCTCAAGGTTTGTGATTTGTTTGTTTGTTTGTTTGTTTGTCCGCTGGTCAGTTTGTTTTATCCGACTGCTTAAGAAAGCATAGGTGTGCTTTAAGTAAGCAACCAGGGGACCGACGGCTTTAATTCCTTTCCCATGGATAAACGAGGGTAAATGTTTTACCAAAGGGCACTAGCGCATCGATTTGGTTTCGAACCTGTGACCTCCCGGTTACGAGACCACCGCTCTACCAATGAGCCATCACACAGTTATGGTTGATTTCTTGAACGTCTTTCCAATCGTCTTGTCAAGATTACATTTTTTAGTATTTGAATGTGATTAGTATTCATACCTCTTATGAATAAAACATATCCATGTACAAATTAGAGTGTTTTTATTTCTTCAATACATATGAAACACAATCGCAAGGACTTTCAAGACATCATTTCAAGAGGCAGTTTCACTACCCTTCATTGCCATTAGAGCTCCTGTTTGGATAAAGTGATACGTCATTGTAATGTTCGAACATTTCAATGAGTGATGAACAAGGTTACTAACATTAAGGTTGATTTGTTGAAAGTGTTTCAAATCGTGTTGTGAAATTGATAATGATTACGCAGCAGTAGTTATGAAGTATTTATTTCATTGAGTCTAGTGTTATTCCTAGCTGACGAAATTCGCCAACCGTCATCGCCTACGTCATTCGTAACATAACATAACAGTTGACGCACAAAATTCTTCCCAAATCGTCACTTTCAAATGAGATTAATTAATGTCAGCATGTTTTTAATCTGTTCCTCCCAGACGAGGCCACTGCCACGATTCGAAGATATTTAGCAAACGACAAGAGAGAACATGCAAAACAGCATCGTTCATTCAGAGAGGGCAGTCTTCAACTTAAAAACGATGGCATGACACAAACATGGAACGACAGGCTGAGAAAGGGAGATACGGAAAAGTCACGACTTGCTCTAGAAGAGAGGGATGAAGATCCAGGCACACTCTTACAAAACATCATTAATTTGAAAGGTAAGTGTCAAAATTATTCACCCCCCCCCCCCGCGAGTGAGTATTGTTTAGCTCTTTTCTCAACATTGTGACACAACTGGTACAGTGTCATACCAAATAATTATGCAGTTAACGAATGAATTATGCATACCCTTACCAAGTTTCGTAATTTGTTTAAGTATGTGAAAAATGGATTTGTCCCGATTTATTTTTCTTGAGAATGTCACAAATTAACGCTTACATCTAAAAGCATGCAACAATGGCCCTAATTTAACCAGTCCACCTTTCATTCCTGATTTATACGATAAACATTCTCTCTCTCTCTCTCTCTCCCTCTCTCTCTCTCTCTCTCTCTCTATCTCCCTCCTTCTCTCTCTCTCTCTATCTCTCTCCCTCTCTCTCTCTCTCTCTCTCTCTATCTCTCTCCTTCTCTCTCTCTCTCTCTCTCTCTCTCTCTCTCTCTCTCTCTCTCTCTCTCTATCTATCTCCTCAGACTTGGAGCGACGTCACCAAATCCGAGATCTCGTCGCGAGACTCGGGAAAAGATCAGAGATGGCAAGTCACGTGAAGTCTACATCATGAATTTACCTTAGAATTATGAGACCGACTATTTTTGTCTGTCATCCCCATAGGTATAAAATGCTTTTTTGGCCTCGGGAACTGTCGGTTTCGTCGATCTTTTGGAACTTTCTACTTCCTATGTTTGTATGTATTTCTTTGATTTGTCGGTGTCATCATGCGCTGTCAGTATTTTTGAACATTTTGTCATTATCGGCCTCGTCGGCTGGTGTGGCCTCTCTGTCTATACTAGGACTTCCTTAAATAGTAAATTCGATAAATTCCCAATAACGGATCAAATATAAAGATTCACCAAATATGTCAACGTAATTTATTATAATTCTTAGTGTCTTGTCATAATAATTATGTTTAATCTTTCTTTGTTTTCCTTTCTCTTATCTGGGAGTGTCGTGGTCGAGTGGTTTAAGGCCCTTGACTTGGAGATGCGAAGGTCGAGGGTTTGAGTCCCGACACGGCACTAATATCCTTTGGCAAGATATTAACCTGCACTTGCTACTCTCCACCCAGGTGTTAATTGGGTACCCGGTAGGATGCGACCGTCATTGTTGGTCAAACAGTTTTTGAGCGCCATGTAACGCCTGGCTGGAATGATCCCCAGGGAGTGGAGATTGTGCACACATTGTGTGCGGGCAAGCACTGAATCCAATGACTGGGGTAATAGTATATTTGTAAAGCGCTTAGAGACATTTGTATTAAGCGCTTTATACAAATTAAATATTAAATATTATTATTATTATTATATGAATTTTAGTTGAATTATTGTATATGCCATGTATATTTTACCGTTGTATGTATGTTTTGAATTCATGTTGTTATTGTACATGTTTTATGTGAATGCAGGGCTCTCTGGGAGAGCAGGTCCAGAAATGAAATTGAATGAGACCACCCTGTTGAAATAAAACTGTAATAAAATAAAATAAATAGTAATTATGGGTTATAAAAAATATTTTGTTATTCATTTGCTTCAGTCTGTCTGATATTGATTTTGATTTGTGTTTAAAGTTAGATCATTATTATAGCCACGGGGTGGTTATAGGGGCGTCACACCCTAACTGGGATTTCCTTTGGAGAATTTTTTATTCCTTCTCACTATTAAATGTTGATCAGTGTATGGAGTAAGTCGAATTTCATTATGGTTGTCATTCCTATGCGATGAGTATCAAAGTAAAGTTTACCGAACAATATTCCGAATTCAAGTCAGTCGAATGAAAATAATATTAATTGTGGCTAAGAAGGTTTTAATAATTATTGTACAGTCTGTGTGTATAAATTGTACTTGTATCTATGCGTCTATTTGAGTGAAAAGCACGTTCAATGCAAATCCATGTTCATCATAACTACTGTTAGCTGTATATATATATATATATATATATATATATAATGTAGGCCTACATTAAATATGATTGCAAAGACTCTCTAGAAATCAACTTAAGGGCAATTACAATGTCGAAGTGATTACGTTCGGATTACGTACTTTTATGTCATTGCCATTTTCGCACATTTCGATAGGTGACGCATAGAGCTACTGAACTTTCCTTCAATTTTTTTTGAAACTCTGTGAGATCGTGCACTAAGTAATACATTATAATCTTCCTTGTCAGCAGATAAGGGGCAAAATGGTCATATTGTAGGCCTACATTGAAATGTCTAGTATCACAATAATTATGTACCCAAACCTTTTTTCGAGGACTAAATAAATAAAGTTAGTCCCTTGTTTATCCATTTCTGGATACACAACTGCCTGATATCTATTAAATATTAAAAATTAAAAATAAATTAAAAATTGAATGTCGCCCTTCTTTTTGTCTCGGTGTATGTGTGTCCAGCCCCCCCCCCCACAAGCGATTAAAACAGTATTAAGCTATAGGTATCGCAGAAATGGAAAAGTGATTATCAGTTGTATGAATTTCAAATATTCAATATGCATTAAATGAACTACTTATTTTGACACTTGTTCCATGAAGACGAGTTAGTACGAAGTAGAACGACTAACATTTAAAAAATCTATCCTATTATATAGACAATATGATGAATATTATTCTTAATATAATAAGCCAAAATTAATTATGTGATCATGCAATATACAAAGAATCACACACACAGTTGCTACCCTAACTTATTCCTAAGAGACATTTTAACTGAGAGTCTGCTTTAACAAAATAAGACTCAATATAAATAGTAGCAGCACTACAAAGTACAAGTTAATAATAGATCTCTTTCAAAATGCACCCGAATTCTATTCACGCATGTCTGTTCACAGAGACATATGCAGGCGCGTACGCAGGGGAGAGGGGGGGGGGGGGTTGAACCCCTCCCCCCCCCTTTTAACTTTTTTATGTGTGTGTGTTGGTGGAAAAAAAAACCTTTGTTGTTCTTTTTTATAATAAAAAATAATAATAATAACAAATTTAAAAAATTAAAAAATAGGGGTAATAGATGACCCCAAAAAGCTGACCCCCTCCCCAACGAAACGAAATATCGATCGGCCAAGATGTGCTCTTACCCACTGTTTAGAAAACAAAATGTAAAGGAGATATGTTTTGTAGAATATAAAGCATATTCGTCATCAGTTTCCGCGGATCCAGGATTTCTCAGGGGAGGGGACCCAATTTTTTTTCTTTTTCTTGCTCCTGAAAATTTGAAAATCGCGCCGGCCGAAAAGTCGCTCAGTGGTGGTGGGGGGGGGGGGGGGGGGGGGGGGGGGGGGGGGGGGGGGGGGGGGTAGTGATCACATTTTTTTTTGGCCCTCGAAAATTTGAAAATTTGTGCCCCCCCCCCCCCTTGAGCGCCATTCCCCCAAAAAGCTAAAAATCACGTGTTTTTACACGTTTTTTTCCCGGGGGGGGGGGGGGCCGGGCCCCCGCCTCCCCCCTCTGGATCCGTCACTGCTTACAATAGAATAGAATAGAAAAGACCATGCAAGCTTCTAAAGTTCAGAACATTATTAATGGAGCCTTAAAGGTAATACAAAGTTTTGGTATGGGGTCATGAATTTGGTTCAAATGAACATATTGGAAGCCAATTTGCAAAATTTCCCAAAACTTTGTATTACCTTTAATTTATGTAGTATTTTAAAATTATCGGAATGCATGATTTCGAATAATTGTTTTGTGTTTTGTATGTAGGTCTACATGAATATTTCGTTTTCTTTTTCACAAAGAATATAATCTCTCTCTTAAATCGTACAGTTGTTCAAATTTAGTACAGATATGTGACATATAGGCCTAGCTAGATTTTCTTCTTTTGGAGATCGAAATAATGGTGATAACAACAACAACAATAATAATGATTATAATAATAACAATAACAATACTGATGATAATGATAATGATTATGATAATTATTAATGATAAATTTGAAAAATCTCAGAAAAAAAAAATCACCTGTACTAGATCTAGAGGCCTAGTCAAAATTTGAAAGTCGGTAACTTCAGTTTATAAAACGACAACTTTGTCAGCGCGTCGTACGCTGCCTACCCCAGTTTCTAATTCTGAAGCGTTTCCTGTTATTTTGAGAGGTATGGAGTCACAGAATTGTTCGCTTTTTTTTTCTTTATCAGATAATTGACTGTGATGTATGTTGTGTTGAACATTATGCGATATAGTGGCTTAAAAACGTCATGTTTGTCTTGGTTTGTTTATTATAGTATAGGCCTAGTCCCATCTGCTGATTCATTTGCTGGTAGATATGGATGCGAAACACGAGGCGCTGCGCGCAGCGTCTCGTGTTTGGTTAAGAGACAAGATTCAAGAATAAATTCACAACAACTAAAAAAGACGTTAGTCATAGAAATAATTGAAGTCTAATAGACTATTTCATCTACCTATATCTACCTAAGAAGAAGATAGGAATGATATGAAATAGAGGTGAACAAATTATCAGAATCACATCGGTTTGACTCTGAGATTTTTTTTCTTTCTATTATTACTAGACTATTAGACTTCTATTATTTAATGCCTTGTAGTTGTAATGAATTTATTCTTGAATCTTGTCTCTTGACCAAGATCAGAATTCAGATGTCAGTAGGCCTACTCGGTGTGGGACATAATTTTATTTTGTTACTAAACTAGACCTCTAACGTTAGTCGACCTCTCTTTCGGGAATTCAAATGTAATAATGATATTATATTATATGCCTTTTCATATGATACAAAGTGCATGTACTATGTACAGTGTAACTAATGTTAACTGAATCTCCAAAATGTTTCAGAAATGGCTGTTTTCCCGAAGTCCAGAGACACCAGACATAATTCATAAGTATTATTGATTTGATATTTAGCAAAATTCATTGCTTCATATAGGGATGGGGTGGGGCCAGACTGCATGACAGTTCCTCACTTTTCTGCACAGAGTATTTTTTGTGATAGTGTAGTGGTAGTTCATGCACATTTAATAACTTTTTTATATCATAGGTGCATCTCCCTCCAGGACCATGCAGGGCTAAGCTTTATCTCAACATCTCCAGACAGACATCCTCTACTCTAGCATCCGACGGCCGATATTGAGTTTAACAACTGCTGGGGGGTGTTTCACAAAACTTGTCATCAGTGACAATTGACAGTTGTTGTTATAAGCTACTGAAATCCTTGCTTTTGATTGGTTATCAGCAGATTTGTCACTGACTTTTGTCATTTGTCATTGTAAAAAGGCTTTGTGAAACATGGATGAGGAATCCAAGATCACCTTGGCAGCGACCAACAAACAAGAGTGGCCAAACTCAACCCTAAAGTCACTGAACACATTCCGGCAGGCTGGACACTCCTTATGCGATGTCTTCCTTCAAGGGGAGGATGCAATGGAACCGATACCCGCCCATCGGTGCGTGCTTGCTGCCAACAGCGTTTACTTCAATGCCATGTTCACATCGGGGCTTGCAGAGAGTAAACCTGCCCACGGGAAGATCACGATCGGTGGGGTAGACACAGAGATTCTGTCACTCGTTGTGGAGTTCCTCTATGTGGGAAGCTGTCATCTGCCGAGCGGCACCAAGCATTCTAGAGTGATGGACCTGCTTACTGCTTCGACCATGCTGCAGGTTCATGAGCTTTCCTGTGCATGCACTATCTACCTTGAAGAGAGCTTGGACACTGACAATGCATTAGGTTAGCAGGGATTGTTTAACAATATTAAATTTGAGATGCACGGCCCTACGTGTTATCAGTGTCTGTGAAATGGTGTAAAATTGAGGCCCTACAAAAATTGCGAAATGATCAAGAAGTGCCTCAAAATAGTAAAAATCTGTAAGTGACCGGTTTTACCATACTCGTTTTCCCCAATAGACTGTAGTGTTATGAAAACCGTTTGGCAAACGATTTTCAAAGTTTGTAATTCCAATCATAAATATCTTCATAATCAGACAGGCGATCGGCCTGTAAAAGTCATGGGGTTCCTGACTGACCTAAAAGTTTATAATTATCATTGCAGCATGAGCTAAATCCAGGATTTTGTTTCAGACAAAGTTACCGGATCCCTTTAATTATGACATGAATCTGGGTTTTACCTTCAACAAAGTGGCAATATATCTGATCTTATTATTACTGTGACCTTAAGTCTTTTTTTTGCTTCTTAAATTCAACTTCTTAAATTTAAACACCACTCAATTTAAATCATGAGTCAGTTTAAATTTTTGAAACGATCTAGATCAAATACTTTCGGGAAAATAAATCAGGACCCCGTTTAAAAAACTTGTTATCAATAACAAGATATGATCATTGTTGCAAACTACTGAAATCCTTCCATTTGATCGGCTATGAGCAGATTTGTCATAGATCTGTGGCAGTTTGTTGTTGATAACAAGGTTTATGAAACGGGGCAGTGATTCAGCTAAAGGAGATGTTTCATCCATTTTTTCTATTGAATTATCCAATACAGAGTATTTTGTGGTAAAGTTAAATGATTTTAACCTTGGCATCAGAATTACACAAATCCTTATTTGTATAATTGCTAATGTTTACAATATGGATATTTCAATTATAGTCTCTACTATGATAAAATCTATTTTCCATAATTTAATTTTTGTTGTTGTTGCATTTTGTTTCATCTTACTGTTACTGTCACTCCTGTTCTTTGTATTTCCTAAACTACAGATATGTGGTCGTAGAAATTTGGATCTTGATCTTATAATTATTTGTCAAAAAAAAGCTTTTAAATAATTGATCAGTGTGTGTCTAATATATTTCAGAGCTGTGGCTGTTTGCCGAGAGTTACAGAATTTCTGACCTGGCTGAGGCTTGCAAAAAGGTTGTCCAGTCGTACTTTTGGTCGATCAGCAGGAGCCAGCGTGTGCTTGAGCTGGATCCTCAGGATATGGAAGCCCTACTCAGTCTGGAGGAGGTCAATTTAGGTAGGTCAAGGTTGAAAGTTCAATAGATATTTGTTAGAATCATGCAAACAACTGTTGTTAATCTTATTTTGACAGGAACAAAATTAAAAGAACTGTGCATATTGTCTGTTTGAAACCAGGAGGGCATTAACTCATATTCTTTAACACATAATACCCTTCTGGCTCTGACCAGATGATACATTGTTTATTTATTATTAAGAGGACCATGTAGAAGACCATGAATGAATGAATAAATAAAGATACTAAATAAATGAATATATGAATAAATAAGTAAACATATATGCCCGAATTCACAAAGGAGGTTTGTCGACAAACCTAGGTTTATGTGCGTCATAACGCGTCATAACGCATCGCATGATGCACATAAACCTAGGTTTGTTGACTAACCTCCTTTGTGAATTCAAGCCATACAGTTTAAATAATTCTAAATAAATAAATTAGTAGACATATGAATTAATTATAAATGTATTGTTAACATGTTCTACAACTCTAACTCCCATAGGGAAGGCAGCAAATGAGGACACCCTGGTTGAGCTTCTTCTGAGATGGCTGACCTATAACCCCAAAGCTCTAGACTCGGATCTGCTTCCTGTTCTCACTAAGGTATGTTGGAGTGAAGTCAGCCAAGAGTGCAAGGACAAATTCAGAGAGACGCTTGCTGAAATCTCCAAGGACAGTTCGTCAGGTAGGTCCGATTCATGGAAAGATGTTCTGGGCTTAATTTTACAGGCATCTTGCTCTTTTGCAAGGAGACCGAGTTGATTTTAGTCATAGCAGGAATATGATGTCACAGACCCACACCAAACTCACAATGAATGACCAAGACAAGGCAAGACTACAAATAAATGGCAAATCTGCCAAATAATGATGATGGAGATTGCATTAATGATTATATATGCAGCTGAGTAATGAGCAAAGACAGTGTTTGTTTTAAACATATTGCTCTCTTATTCTCTCTTATGATATCTGCTTTATTTCCATATCTGCTCCTTTTGTTCATCTGTTTTTTTCCTGTTTTGAAATTTAATTTCTATTTCTTTTACAGAATCTTTCGACGCTGAAAAGGTATTTGATGTCATCTCAAAATCTTCATCTTTGAACCAAAGCTTCAATCGAACATTCTTCTGCCCCGTGTGTGCCATTGGATTTGCTCCGTTGTCAAGCAGTACATGGGATGTGTAAGAAGTTTTTTTAAACAATAGATTGCAGGAGCTGATGTTGCCATCAAAGTTGATGAGAAGTCTTACTATCCAAAGCAAAGTATTTTCCTCTGCTTTAAAACTCCATTTTTGCCTTTATTAAGCCTAAGGGATGAAAGAATTTAGTAGTTAACTGGCTAATGGACTAGAGTTCTCCTAAACATTTGGTAAATTTCAACTGTTCACATCACGTTTGTTCATTCATATAACTTCCAGATATGGCCATGAACCCAGTACCTTGGAGGTCGTAGACATTGACAAGAGGACTGGCACCGTCCTCAGGCAGTGGTCCAGGGAGTTTCTCAGGGAGCAGTTCAGTTTCCTACCTCTCCGCGGTCACCTCTATGCATCATCCAACACACGTTACAACACACATTACAGCAGTACCAAGCATATTGATGTGCTCTGCCTGAGTGTGGCTAACGTTAAGAATACCAAAGTGATGAGGACTAGAAGTTGTAATGAAGAGTCAGTGTGGTTGAACGTGATTGAAAAGCAACATTATACACGTGCCATTGATGAGGAAACGGGCATTGTCTATCTGTGTGGGGACCCAAAAGCGTGGGATCAAAGCCGTGTCAAAACTTCTACACAGGTCTTCAAGCTGGATATCGAAAATAATGTCTGCTCTCAATTGACCAGTCTCCCTTTTGAGAGGTAGGGTACATATTCTCTTCAGTCTATGTTGTATTATATCCTGCATCAAAATTTGTATTGGTTCTTGATTGGTTGAGAGCTCTTCACGTGACCAGAAATATTTGAACCTTTTTTAATAAAGTTGCTCTGAAAAAGTACAGTTTTGATGCACTATTTTGGAGTTGAAAATGTTTGTATGCCTCCGCAACAGGGTAGCCGAATGCATTATATATTTGGTAAGTTGTCCGTCCGTAATACGTCCCATTCTCGTGATAGCGTTATCTCAAGAACTGTCTGATGGATTCCAGCCAAACTTGGGTCATGTATGCAATGTTTTATATTTCTCTTTTCCAGATGTCATGATAGAGCGGTAGTGGTAGAAGGAGACCTATTTGTATTTGGTTCAGTAGACCGGTCACCAACCCCTGTCTCGACTGTCCTGAAGTATGACTGGAAGAACAATGCGTGGCAAGAAGTGAGTCCCATGCATGAGTCCAGAAAAGAAGGAGCCTATGCCTGTGTTGGTAAGCGTGCTTATTAGATTTGATCAAGCTTTCATGAATGAAGTTGATCTCTAGCTACCACAGTATTTTAAATATAAAATTCTGAATCTGAAAATAGACATTCTAATGAGCAGCTTTGTACTTGACCATAGACCATTTATCCATTATGATGTGATGTTGTTCATTGTCCCCAAGTGGTGCTGTATACAGGATTTACTTGATTATTTCAGGTCCAAGAATTGACCCCTGAGGAACCCAATGATTTATATTATGTTGTCCTTATTTTGTATCACTGATGAACGCTGCTCATGATATGCCAGTGGACATATTTACTTTGTCGTTGCAGTTCAGTGCCAGATTATTGGTCTGTTGTACAAACACAACAACATTGATTTTTATATCTCTTTTTTTGTTGACAGATGGCAAGATATATGCGTCAGGTGGATGGACCTCGAAAGCTCGTTCAAGAAATGTTGAAATGTACGACCCTTCTCTGGACATCTGGACAAAATTGAGTCCAATGTCGTTACCCAGGGTCAACCATGGACTCGTTGCTGTGGGAATGTATCTCTTTGCTATGGGCGGTAAGGGACAATTCTCAATTTTTTTGTTGAATTCCAGTGATACTATAACAGTACCGTATGTCAATGACTTTTCACTTTTGTGGCGAAAATTTGTCCTTCTCTATTAAGTCATCACCCCAGTCTTGGCCTTACTGCAACCTTCGTTTCAAATTGTTTCTTGGTCAACAGTATACAAATCAAAGGCCTTACCTGTGGCCTCTACCTGAAATGTATGCATGCAATATTCATATCACTTGATGCATGTATTTCAGAATCTGTATCTTAATATTGACTGTTCATTGAATGTATATCATACTTTTTTGCTGATGTTGCAAACAGGCGAGTCAACATATTCAGAAGAAGACATTATCTGGAACGGCCATAAAATGGTGGAAAGGTACAGCATCACCGAAGGATGCTGGAGGCTGCTTGGGAGATGGCAGAGTGCAGAGAGGGGATGCGGGCTTTCACCCTCTAGAACAGTGATGTAAGGAAAGTCAACAAAACAAACACACAAGAACAGTAGAGAGATACAGCATCACTGAAGGATGCTGGGAGGCTGCTTGGGAGATGGCAGAGTGCAGACAGGGGATGCGGGCTTTCACCCTCTAGAACAGTGATGTAGGAAAAGTCAACAAAACAAACACACAAGAACAGTTGAGAGATGCAGCATCACTGAAGGATGCTGGGAGATGACAGAGTGCAGACAGGGGATGCGGGCTTTCACCCTCTAGAACAGTGATGTAAGGAAAGTCAACAAAACAAAAAACGCAAGAACAGTAGAGAGATGCAGCATCACTGAAGGATGTGCTGAGTCTGCTTGCGAGATGGCAGAGTGCAGATAGGGGATGCAGGCTTTCACCCTCTAGAACAGTGATGCAAAGAAAGTCCAAAATAAAATCAGAGATACGGCATCAATGAAGGATGCTGGGAGGCTGCTCGGGAGATGTTGTAGTGCAGGTGGGAGATTATTGCTGTCACCATCAAAGAACGGTGGTGCAAAGTGCCTTCTTTGTTATGATGATCCCACCATAATATCCCAGCCCAGACTTCCATGGTTGTGACCCTTCTCCGTGCAAAATTATTAAAGGTCAAAAAGGTTCAATATTCAGCTTGATGTCAATGCCTCAATTTCTAATTTGTTTTCATGAAATCTTCTATGAACCTGTAAAGTTTACTTTAACTCTTTAGATATTGTTATAGGGTTAAAAGAGTCAAGAGTTATTCAACTATTTAGAATATTTTAATTGAAATTCATGAGACCACCTCAGATTTCGAAGCCCCTCAGGTCTTTTCAATAGATTAATAAATGTTTTGAAACTCGATACATGAAAATGAGCCCATTATATTCTATACCTCAATGTGTTCTGAATGAATATTGATGTCTGCATTTTCCTAAAAGGGTTCTGGAATAGTTAAAGGTAATACAAAGTTTCGGTATAGGGTCATGAAATTGGTTCAAATGAACATATTCAAAGCACATGTGATACTCCATTATTCAGTAATAGTTTTCGAGGTTGAAATCGAGTCTAAAGTGATGAAATTGTAAATAATAAACTCTTTATGTTGTATAGCTCCCTCTCAAGGTCAAGATATTAATTTAGCTATAAAACAATGTTTCATGACTAAAATTGACGGATTGGCTATTCCTGTTTGGAAATTATATATCACAACTGCATATTCTGAGATTTTCATGGTCGCTGCTACCATTGTATGGCCGTAGGCGCTAGTTGAAATTTATCAAAATTTACTGGGAGCACCGATAAATTTTGATATTCAATTTTTCTCAGAAGCAGAAGTATTTTAGGGGCTAAATTTTCTAGTGCTTATAATACATCCACAGGGGCATCCAAATATATCAAAATTGTAAATAATCACTATCCCGCCAAGTTTCAAAATTTACCAAAACTTTGTAATACCTTTAAACTGTTGTGATATTCAGTCCAGTAACAATTTGTGTGCCTCCGAAATGAAGTAGCCGGAGGTATTATGTTTTGGGGCTGTCCGTTCGTACCTCCCGTTCTGGTTATCGCGTTATCTCTAGAACCCATAGATGGATTCCCGCCAAACTTGGGTCATGTATGTATCTTGCAGAGCCAATTAACTGATTAGATTTTGGGGTTATGAGGTCAAAGGTAACAGGGCTCATTATGTACCATATGCAAAAATAGCTTGTGATCGCGTTATCTCAAGAACCGATGGATTCCTTCCAAACTTGACGCATAACATCATCTTTATGTAAATGGCTCTTTAAAGTGCAATTTTAGTGACATATTTGTTGTGCATACAGAAAAAGTATACATTTTTCAACATTAAACTGTATTGTTTTTAACCTGAATTCAGAGGTATGAGTACTTTATTTGATTCCTGTATTTCTCTTTTTAATATTTAATGTTATTCCACAGCAAATCACTTCTAACTGCGTACTAAACAATGTGCTACAAATGTACATTTATAACTGACCAATTGGGCGGTTAAACTATAGTAGAAATACTGTTTTTATCTATCTGATTTATGAGCACGTTTCAATGGATGATCAGTATGGATGTATGAATGTTTGTGTTTTCCCCCATGACTTTTGTTTGTTGCATGTACATAAAGTTTAATCATGGACTTTCGAAGTGGGCTAGTGAGGTGTACTTCCCTGTCTTGCAATTAGGGTTGCTCTGGGATGTGTAGGGGCATGGGGGAGGGGGGGGGGGCTCAGTGCCCCCCCCTACCCCCCCCCCCCCCACTTTTCAAGTACCCTTAAGTTAAAAGTTACATCTTGTAAAGAGGAAAAACCCAATTTTTGATAGGGTTATAACCACATTCTCATAATGGAAGACTGAAAAGACCTTTGATAAGTATTATAATTATAACATCTATAAAGCGAGCGAGCTTTGGGGGAAATTGCTCTTATTCGTTTGAAATTAGGGGCACGTTTAATGAGAGGAAAAGGGGACACTTATCGAAAGGGATAAGGAAGAAGATAAGCTTTCCCTTTCACTTCCTCTTTCACTTCCTACTCTTTTTTTTTTTTGGCGGGGGCAGGGAGAAGCAAGGGGCTTTTGTGCCCCCCCCCCCCACGATCCACAACTTGTAGGCGGGAAAATAGCAACTGATATCCTCCTTTTATTATTATTATTCCACTTTTTTTCCTTCTCTTTATCTCCTCTTCCTTTTTCCCCTTTTCCTTCTTTCTGTCTTATCGTTTTGATGGGGGGGGGGTGGGGGGTGCAAGGCCCTTTCGGCCTCCTTTTTTTTCTTCTTCTTCCTCTTCTTTCTTTCCCTCTCTCTCTCCCCTTTCCCTTTCCCTTTTCCTTCTCTCTCTTTTTGTTTTACAGGGGGGGGGGGCAAGGCCCGCGCTCCACCCCCCCCCCCCCCCCCACCCCCGCACCTGCCCTCGATTGATTTTGTGAGTGGTCTCATTTGGTGGGTGATTTTTATATTTATAGATATTTTTATTCATTTTCTTACAAAATTATTTTTGAATAATAATTATTTATATTAAAAACAAATTATAGTTAACATTCCCTTGTTAATTAATAATTAGTTAATTTACTGATTGGTCGGCAGGTTGTGCTTGATTGATTAAATTTATTGCTTGGACGCTTAATTGAATGGTCTATAAAATCTAAATGTTTTCCAGATATGTTGTGCCCAAATTACATCAAGAAAATTACTCTGGTTTCAATGGAAGAAAGAAAGAAAAAGATTATGTTATCTGACATAAATTGCAATGTAGGCCTACTTTTTCACAGATAGACTAAGTAAAAATGTTTAGCTCACCCTAACGCGCCAGTGTTTTGGTATGCCGCCCTCTTTTGTTTAATGAATGAAAACTGCATGTTGCATGCGTGCATGCAATGTTATCTTTCTCGTGCAAGAGCTGCATTGACTGCCTTGCTATCAGTGGGCATGCTGTGCATGGATGATATGCATTGCTGCTGCAGTAGCCTAGATCTGTATCGAATGCCTGGATTGAAATGTGATCTCGGTTGCTCCTAATCAGACCTTTTATATTTCGTGCTGGAATCAGGATGAAATCGCCATTTTCCAAGTGATCTTGTTGAGCTTGAGCAATCAAGATGGATAGCATTATCCCTTCAGAGTTTCCAGAAGGAATCTTTGTGGAAGATGGTAAGATCAAAAATTTCGAGCAAAAATTACATTCACAAAATCACCACGATTGACTCGAATTGATAATTGGATTGGGTATTAACGTAGAGTTGCATGATTACATGGATGGATTAAATATATTTTACATGTAGACCTCTAGACCGTCCTAGTACTAAGCTGAACATTGTTTAACCTCCAGTCTTTAGAAGGTACTTCTAAATAATGTTGTAACAATGTTTTGTATTCTGACATTTTGTTTTCGGTCATTCGGCCTTCTGGCACTCCAGGTGAGGTTGTGTATCCAGACAGTTGATTTAAATATAAGGACTAGATCTAGATAGATATACAAGCAATATTTAGACATCTGTCTGGAACAAATATGCATGATGGTAAGTGCTGTTCAATGAATAATTTTTGTTAAATCGACGGGCAAGGCTTTAATGTTCGGACATCCAGTCCCCTACCCTCCCCCCCCCCCCCCCCCATCGACCTTGTGACGACTAGACTAGACTAGACAGAAATAACCATTTGGTATGGGGAATTCTTTAATGAAATTAATATTTGTCAACCTTCCCCAGGCCCCATACACAGACTGACAAATTCTCTTCACCTGGTAAGTTGCCCATCTCGGCCCGGTACAGGTGGAGAAGTTCCCTAATGAATTTCCCTGGGCTTCCAAGGGGAATTTTCCCCTTCAGATCAGACATTTCCCCAGGAAAACCACCAAGCACTTCCCTTGGGAGGTGCTTAGTTTGAAAAGGGTTAAAAGATGTGCTAGAACTTAAAAGTTTAGAACAAGAAATTATGGCGTTGGCAATGTACATGTACGTCTCGTCGTCTGACTTCGATAAATTTTGTGAATCCCGAGTGTTGTATCAAATTATTATTTTTGTACTACCAGGTATAGGCCTAGGTATCCACCATGTTCAGGGTTCAGTTTGTGAATTTTTAAATCCTTGAAACTTGGCTATTAACTAGTAAGGGATGACTTAATTTCTACCTTTATTGTTTCTCAAGTGATTACTCCAAATTCAAGAAACTGCAACTTGCAATTGACCATTTTTCATAATGTAATCAAATTTAATGCATAAGTCTATGTAAATGTAACAAACTATTTCATTCACAGCTAGGTTACGAATACTTGAAGTTGTATGTCTATAGTCGGAACACGAACTGCATACATTTATTGTTGCTATAGCTACATGTAGGTACTTGTAGGACAGGCATTTTGGCTTGTCCTACCTAGCACCACGGAATGTATGCAATTCCAATCCTAACGATTGAAATAAAATTATTCATAACAGGTGAATGAAATCATTCATAGGAACCCGGAGGCACAGACTTAACAAACATGCGTGCATTAAATTTGAGTACATTAAGAAAGTGGCCTATTGGATGTACTATTTGATGAAGTCACATTGGTTTTAAGTTGGTAGGAAGGAAAAGTGTGAACTTCACATGAGATGCTGCTCCAAAGTAGCTTGAATAAAAACGAAATCAAGAAGAAAAAAAATTATCAGAACAACCACAACAAATATAGAGTTTTTTTTCTCCATACCAGTATTCCCTTAAAAAAAGGTAATAATAGAAAACGCAAAGAGTCAATAGTCATTGCGAAGAAATACATGAAAATGATTTATGCAAGCCAACTCAAAATTAAGATGAAATGAAAGTGAGGAAGGGACACTCACCCCACCTATTCAATTAAGTCACAAATAATTACACAACTTATCCTCATGTTTTCATATGATTTATGAATGGTTGAGAAACTCGGGTCTTTGCAAATCATTTATAGATTCATTTTCTGTTAAACAAAAATCTGTTGCTGCTGAAAACTTTACTAAACTAAACTGGATTTTTTCAAATCACTTAATAATACACCAATGTCATGAACTAATATTTGTTTTTCAAGTCTTCAAGTGGTGTATTATGATAGGAAAGAATAACAAAATTAAAGATAAAGACCAGTTATGGTCATGCGATTGCATTGTGAAAGAAACGTTGTGGAATCGATCAGAAAAGGTTGATCATCTAGCATCTAGCATCTGCAAGGTTCTGGAATCATCAAAATGATAAGAAATTTGGCCCATTCTTCGTACAGTTTCAAGCACTATACACAGAAAGATGTATATGGGACTACCCTGTATCTCTCACAGACCATGAGAGAAACAAATTTACCAAATATATGAATTAGTAGGCGGTTTCCCGGCAATTTTTTTATCATCATGTATTAGTCAAAACATATTCTTTCACATGATTGGTAATGAGAGCTTCCATTTCATTTTTTGAAATTGGGGCGTTTCCAATACTGGTCTTTACCTTTAAAGTGGTATTCTAACTAACTAAACATACTAAACAGGTAATTAAGTTTCTTATGAGAATCAGTTGTGAATCAAATCAATCAGTCAAGAATCAGATATGATAAAGAGAATAACAAAACTAAATTGATGGATTGGTTTCATTTTAAGATCATTTGTCTGATATCAAGAGCTAATTTCTGTTGTGAAAGGAGTGGAGCTGAAATAAAGTACAGGGAATTTAAAAAGTAGAATGATTTGATAGGTTGCTCACGTGCTTTCTTAGTAGTCAGGTAAAACAAAACAAACAAACAAACAAAAAACAAATAAAGGTTACATGTAGGCCTACAGTAAAACCTTAAGTTTATTCTTCTGATCAGGAACCAATATCTGTTACTAAAGGGGGGTGGAGCTGCAGTAAACAAGACAAAACTAACCTAGTACATGTAAATGTAAACGGAGTAGACTTTAAATAGTTTGCAGTTCCAAAGTTCACCACTGAATTTGAGTAGTGAACTATGAAATCGCAGGCTAACTGGAATTATTTACACTTGAGCATACAAGATTGTGATAATCATGTTTGATGCATAATTTGAATCCAGAAGTGAGATGCAATACATGTACAACTTTATTGGGATAGGTAAATATAGCAAGGATTGAGGAATGCGTATTTAACACACTGTAGTTCAAAGATCATCGACAGGAATGCAGCCAGATCATTGGGGGGGGGGGGGGGGTGGGGGGGGGTTATAATTGCCCATCTTGACAAAAAAACTATGTTACAAGCAAAACTGAATCTACAGGTGTATAACCAAAAGAAAAAAAAAGGGGGGGGGGGAGGGGAGGGGAGAAGGAAAAATGACAAAGAAAAAAGAGACATCAAAATAGTTATATACATGATAAGAATTGCTGACATAGAGGCTTTGTTTCCCCCCTTACAAAAATACATTCCGTTTATACAATATGATTTTATGTTTATTTTTTATTTATATAAAGTAGAGCCAAGGAGTTTTGATTATTATTTTATACAGATTGGATATTTACTACAAAATAAATTGTATTTTTATTTTAGGAAAAGACAATGATCCAGCTAAGGTAGCAACTGCAGAGAAAGGTATAATTCTACCATTTGTCTATCTTGCCTATTTCCAGCAAAAAATAAAAGCTGCTACCATATCCCATTGCCATATAATCTCTAATGTTGTAATTTCAGTGAAAATATACAGGTACCCATTTATGCATTATAATGTAATCTTGCAGTGTGTACATTACATTGTTTGTTCAATGATCATAGACATGTAATACCATGGTTCAGTACCCTTTGGTTTCATCTTCATAATGACTACAGTCGATTATTCATTGTCACATTACATTCCACCAAACCACTTTATGTTAAACATGAAAAGAAAGAGAAAAAAATAGAAGAGATGTTAAGAGTGTTGTAGCCTTGTTCATTGATAAAATGTTTACCTCAGCATTCACGAAACAATTTGATTTTAAAATATTCCCTAAATCATGCATATGTTGTAATTGTTTATTTAATTTACTGTGCTGCCTCTTCATATTTGTTATGCAAACAATCGATCATGATGGAGGCTGTTTGCTCTGAAAAGAAAATATTAAAAGTGCATTGCAAATTAGCAATGGGAATTATGGGACATTTAAAAAGGAAGTGGATTATATGTTACCCTAAGGGCCTAAGGTTAGTTTCACTTTCGCATTCAGCATATATTGATTTTCTTTCATCCTGGCTGTGTTTATAGAGGTATCGAGTGTTTAAGATGAAGATAAGATATTTATTAAGAAAGATATTTTGTGTGCGTGTGCCTGATTTTTTTTTTAAAATGTCAAGCATTACAATGACAAAAAATGAAACCTCCCTTTCTAATCATACAAGTCACCAATCATGTAAATGTTTAAGTTGGTAATTGTTCCCATCGAATTGATCATATATTTGCAAACATACAGTACATGTGCAGCTGAAAGTTACAAACCATCACCATTTCATACCAATATCATAAGATTTATGTGTGTAACTGTATAAGCTTCAAATTGTATGCATCGTCTATTTCAAATTTAGTCCTCCATGTACATGTAACCTATACAAATGTATAAAATTTTCAGTCGCATTTATCTGACAAAATGAAAGAGAAACTGAAGAATTGAATACATGTATTTAAGGAAGAGAATAGTATATTGAGGAAGAAAAAAAAAGAATCTAAGAGGTACATATTAATGTTGAAAATATTATCTTTTAATTTGCCTACCCCAAACAGTAACAAGCTTTAGACAAATAATACTTGTGGAGAATGCAATATTTCAGATGTAATGAAATTGTAATCATCTAGGCAATACCCCTTCACGAATCTGTTAAGTCACAGGCAAGTAATTTAAAACCCAGAATCCTTGTTTTAATGAAATCTAGACTTTAGCTGCATTTACACTGTACACTGCAACCAAAAATCATTGGTTTTCATGCATACCTCTGTTTCGGGCAAACATGCCGAAAAATTCCACCTCTGGAGTGTGTTCTTTTTAAACACCTGCCGAAATTTCAGTGTACATGTACATGTAAATGCAAACTTTGGTAATATACTAATTTTTGCTCGCGTGACTCTCCTGGCTTATGTGTTGACGCAGGGCACCGACAAATGGCCCATGCGCACTACTCATTAAAAATCGTTATGAACAAACTTCATAAGTTTTTTATAGGTTTATCCAGTAGTGTAAATGGTCGACCCAAAATTGAACGATTTTTCAAAACAGTGTTTTTGGATGTGTGAATGGGCCTTTTGGTAACAACTCGTTGAGGAGAGGACAGATGGTATCATTCACCCTCTTGACATTTAGAAAGTAAATCAACCATTTATGAAGATTCGATCTTTGGGGCTCACTCAGCTAAAATGTACCAGTATATGAATAGTGAGATTCAAGAGGTTTTGCGTTTCACGCAGACTCCAAAAATAAAATGAACTTACATTGATGTACTTGGTTTCAAGTTCAGTTTTCAGTATTTAAAAAAATTAATTCTCACAATGTGCCTGTTTGTTAACATCCAGGCTGTTATATCACTTATAATGGGAAGTTGCGATTGATTGCAAGTTTCAATATTTGCAACTGATATTTGCAATCAATTGCAACTCAACTTTTTTTGCAACGCCCCGCTAGTCTCCTAAATTTCCTAAGATTTTGTTAGGGTTAATGTTTTAACAATTAAATTATTAAGTTAATTCGATCTATCTTTTATTCTCCCCCCTCCCCCCCCCCCCCCCCCTCTCTCTCTCTCTCTCTCTCTCTCTCACTTTCTCTCTCTCTTACTAATGGGACATCAATTGCAAGAATGTTGAGTTGCAATCAATTGCAAATTTGCGATTTATCGCAAGACTTAATCTTGATTTCAGCAGGGAAAAAATTAATATTTATTTTTTGGGGGCTACTTTTCAAGCTTACCTGCATGAATATAACATTCTAAAAATTTGTATTGAATTGAACTCTATGCAAATTTACAGGGGCTCTTTTCTGATTTTCGGGGGCTATTTTGGGCATTTCAGGGGCTAATTCGCCCCGAGCCCCCGTGTATTTTTTTCACTGGATTTCAGGGATTTGCAATTGATTGCAACTTTCTTGCAACGCCCCATTAGAGTACCCACAGTAAGATTGGTTACTGATTAACCGAACCCATTTTTTTCCCTCAGTAACCAACTACCTCTTCGGTCCACAAATTTAATTCCAGCCTATAAAAGTCATTTCTCTGTTCATCGTAAATGTGAGTCACTATGTACAAGTAGTATTTACTTTTTCAACTGAAGGCCCTTGAGAGACAATATATTCAATTAGCTCTCCACACTCGTGATATTGAAATGTGGTTGGGCACTTACCCATGTCTACATTGAAATAAACCACATGAATTTGTGTATTGTTGATTGTTCTCCCTCAATGCATAATGTTAGTGTATTCATACCTTTATAAGAATTTCCCTTCCCTTGCATTTTCACCCCGTTGCTCATTGGTACATCAAATTTCATGCTAATTTATTCATCAAGGTCTAGTGTATTAACTGAGAGATGATCTATCTGCATGTACATGCATATTTCTTACAATCATGAAAGTTCATAAAATGTATTGTTGATACATATCGTTTGGGAGGTAAAGAAGATATTGAGATCAAAAATTTAACTTCCAATTCAAAATATATTCCATATACATGTACATGTACAAGTACATGTACCGGTATATCATTTTATATCTGTTTTATGTTTCATCCAGCAAATGTAGTTGGCCTTTTTGCTCTTAGCATCATGATAAAAGAGTGGAAAAAAATAGATAAATCATGATTTACGTCAGGTGGAGTCATTTCGAAATGTCAATTGTGGCTCATCTACATATACGATCTGAGTGCCAATCTTGTCAAAATGTCAAGTATAAGACAAGACACTTGGGCCTCAGCATACTCAGCTGCCTCATGTACTGGTTCAATATATACAAAAAAGGAACAAAATCTACCCAACATCTGCCCTTGGAAAATTAGACATCAGTTGTAACCATGGCAACATTAATTAAAAAGAGAAATTAGTGTCATACCATGCCCCATACAGCATCTGCTACATGAATTCAACTCATTGATGCCATTCACTTAATTATTACGACGACCCCTACACCCCCCCTTCCACCTACACCCCCCCCCCCCCATTCTGTTCACTGCAGGATTGTCTGGTCAAAAAGAGGAGTTTTAGGCTATGAGAAAATCATTTTGGTTCTCATTTTTTACAAATTTGGCTTTAATTTTCGTGTTACCGGATTTACCGGTATTTAGATGCTTTTGCAACTCATGCTGGAAGAAAGACAGTCATGAGGACTTGGTTCTCACATTCAAAACTCTTTATACTATGTTTATACAAATTTTTTGTTTTACCTCACTTTTTATTTTGGTGTTTAGTCATATTGGTAAATTGAAATCCAAATCTGCATCGGGCCTCATTATTTAAGAAAGTTAAAAATGTGCATTTTACATGTGACAATGCCAAAAGTTTATTTCCAGGACTGGATTGCATTTGATAAAAAAAATCACACAACAGATTGTCAACATTGTCTACTGACAATTCAGCTGAGACTAGACGTATCCCACCCAGATTCTATTCTTTGAAGAAAAAAAACTGTGTATGAGTCAAAACAAAAGAGAATACCTCAAACGACTTCCTCTAATACCAATACTATTCAGATCAACGTTATCAAGAGAATCTGGCCATATAAAAATAAGGGAGTTTATTGCACTTGTGCCACTTTGCCAACAAAAATAGAACAATGCTTAAAGGGATCCGGTAACTTTGTCTGGAATTTTGTCTGGATTTAGCTCATGATGCAATGAAAATTATAAACCTTTAGGTCAGTCAGGAACCCCATGACTTTTACAAGCCGATCGCCTGTCTGATTATCAAGATATTTATGATTGGAATTACAAATTTTGGAAACTGTTCGCCTGACGGTTTTCATAATACACTACAGTCTATTGGGGAAAACGAGTATGGTAAAACCGGTCACTCAAAGAATTTTACTTTTTTGAGGCACTTCTTGATCATTTTGAAGCGCAATTTTTTAGGGCTTCAATATTACACCATATCACAGACACTGATAACACGTAGGGCCGTGTTTATCAGATTTAACATTGTTAAACGATCCCTTTAATAGACCTGTAGGGATTCTAGGGAATACAAATTGGCTTAAATTGTACATGTACATGTAATCCAACTATTTGTGAAATTTTGTTTCCTTCTTAATTGTCATACATGTTTATACAAGGATCATATCGTCATTTCCGTATGAACTTTTATACATTTATAAATTTTGTTATTTCCACTTGTACAACTGCAGGTACAGGTACCCTATTTCTGAAATTTTGTTTTCCTTCTTCATTGTCATACATGTTATACGAGGATCATATCATCATTTCCGTATGAACTTTTATACATTGATACATTTTGGTCTTTCCACTTGTACAACTGCAGGTACAGGTACCCAAACATACATGTATAGTATGAGTGTGTTTCATCATACAGAATTGATTCCATTCATGATCCTTGCCCATGCATTGATAGACAACAATAATAGACGCATACCCACCATTACAATGACACCTGGAAGGGTGACAAAAATAACAATGAAATTCAATCTTTTCGAGTTATACACCTGAATGAGCAGTTTTTGAACCCCCAATAGATCTATAATATGATGTGTGTTTGAATGCATTATAGAGCAATTTTTTTTTTTTAGAGTTTAATACATTAGACATCAACTTTTTTTTTTCCTTTCCAAAGTTAACATTGATCTACAGGTGTGTAAATGTATTACCCTGTCAAATATGATATAATTTTTGGTATTCATATCATGCTGTTGTCAAGTGCCATCAACTTCAAATTTCCCTATTTTTTTCCTTCAAAAGTTCTTGTATTACGCTGGTGAATATACAGTAATTTCATTTTGGTATTCATAACATGCTGTTTTCAAGTGTCCCACGACTCCCACCAAGATATTTCACAAACTGTCATTAACTCTTTGCCTCCTGGAGTGGGTAGTCCATGTATTAAACCTATGGAAATAAGAAAATTCAGTTGTCAGCAGGTTAATGGCTCAAACACCTAAAACATTCAGAGATATTTTTTCTCACATCCATCCCATGAAGGAGGATCTATTACATCCCATGACAGATCTATTACATTCCACGACGGATTTATGAAAGAACTATTGAACTACTTTCACCTCTTTAATTATGTAGATCAAAATGTTAGTTTCTATGAGAACTTGAGTTTTCTCACAACATGAAGACAAGGAGTGGTAGGAACAGTGTGGAATTGAATTTTAGGAAGCTACTTCCTGGGCTGGTAGAAGGTAAATAATTGGTCTTTTGTTAGGTTTCGTTCAAGTACACCCTTCGTTACATAGAGGACAACCTGCTTTCGTAGAAATCGTGAGCATTGTAGAAATAGTTCACCATCTGCCAATGTGCAATGCAGTTGCAATGCTTCCTTATTTGAAGAAATTATTGAAGCTGACAATAAGTGTGATACAATTTCATAACTCTTTGGAACAATCTGCTCATTATGCCTTTCATTCTAAGTTTTGATAAGGTTCGTGTTCACATTTCAAAGATTAATGCTTCAGCAATCTCTGATACAGAGGGACAACCTGTCCATAAATACGTCATCTTCCTTGAATGGTCTTTATAGTCAGGTTTCACACCCTTCATATACCAGTGTCTATAAATGAGAAGAATCATATTATGTCAGTTCAAAGGGAGAAAGGAAACAGCCATAACGATACCTGTCATTCCTGATTTTAAATGTACTACAGAAAATTTCTGAATGTGAAAGGCCTATATGTTTAGTTCCAAGGGATGAAAAATGAAAGTACAGTCATTCAAGTTGCTTATGAAAATGTTTAAAATATCTTCTTGTTATTATGCATTACAGAGAAGCTTCTGGAAGGAGAGGATACCCACATGTCCAGCTTCTTGACCGACTGGGACACGGAGGCTGACCAGGGTGGAGGACGCATGGTCACGGCTGACAGCGGCGATGACCACTCCGTTGACAGTCTTCCCATGTCACCCGACGAAGCCAACTCCAATCAGAATGCAGACATGCTGGTGCGAGGCATGGCACCGGTCTTGGTCGGCGAGGAAACAAGCCACGCCTTCTTCTGTTTTGCATGGGAGGATGACGAATGGGCCATCAACGTGATCCGGAAGCTGGAATCCTCCGCTTACGGTTTCTCATGTGATAACAGCAACCACAAGTGGGATCCGGGCGTCGCCAAAATGGACAAGATCATCAATTCCATCTCCACCGCCAAGAAGCTGGTGCTTGTCGTAACGCCAGACTTTATGCGCAGTCCGTGGTGCATGTACGAGAACCTGCGCGCTCTGCGTGGCCATTATACGAACACGGCGAAAGTCATAGTGGTGGTGTTGGGTGAGATAGAACTCCCGGACTTTCTTGAAGGGATACCGACCATTAACGCGATGTCGAGGAACTTCTGGCAGAGGTTTGTTGCCGCATTGAGATTAGGTAGGTGCCTGAAGACACATCAGAGCCTAATTCAAAGCATTTTATCTCGTATAAGACCTTCTATCTGGAAAAGTATCGGTATGTCAACATGATTGTGTTTATTTGGAGAAGTTTTATGATTTTGTAGAGAGAAAACCTGCTCCTTGTCCTGAGACAATTTTTTTTTTAATGGTATTGCAAGCTCTACCTGGGCCCCGTTTCACAAAGCTTTTTTTTTAATGACAAATGACAGAAATCAGTGACAAATCCGCTGATAACCAATCAGAAGCAAGGATTTCAGTAGCTTATAACAAAACCTGTCATTTTTTTCACTGATGACAAGTTTTTTGAAACGCCACCCTGCTCCTTGTCCTGGGACGATTTTTTCATGGTATTGCATAATTGCAAGCTCTACCTGGTCTAAGTAAACAGGTCATGAATAAAAGCACAACCAAAACACAGTTGTGCAACATTTTAAGATTGTCTTGCTATGATACAATGATTACAGATAATGTGTATTCAACTTATACCGTAATGCAACATATCTATAGACAAGCATTGCACAGACGAGCCCTTGGAAACGATGTACACGAGTAGCCCAAAGGAATTTGGGACATGTCACATGAGACTCTTTCTTACTTTCTCTTTCAATTTCATTCTTGTATTTTAATCAGGGGTAGGGTAGGGTCTTATAAAAGGTCGGTATTGATCTGGATTAATCGCAATTCCTCCAATCAATCCCAAACTTTCCAACTCCTATTTCTTTAGTCCAGAATTGCAATTGATTTGAATTAATCACACCTGTTCATAGGATGGGGCCAAGGATTCTAAAAATGAATGTAGATGCTTTGTATCATGATCACTTTCCTTTCAGTCTGTTGTTTAAATCCATAACCTCAAAATGAAAGTGAATAAGCTACATGTACATTATATGGTCACTTTTCCTCGTGATGTTTTGGGACGATCAATAATGATTGTGAAATGAACAGTGTTTGAAGGTCTCTTTCTCAGAACCCCGATTCGCCACAAACTGAATGTGAATTGAATAACATTGCTTACATTGTTTTCACCGTCTCTTATTCAATGTTTGGGTAAGATTTAGAATTGCACTCCCCAGGGAGTGGAGAATGTGCTCTGGGGTATTAATGAAGGGCTTTAGTCAGTTAATTGAAATGTGCTATATTGGAAATTAATATTATTATTTATTGTTATTATAATCATCTAATCATCATCATCATCATAATCATCATCATAATCATTATTGTAATCATCTATTTCAATATCTTGTAGGTTCTAGCTTGGATGCTCACGATGCCTCTCTCAACAATAATGTGCCTGGTAAGTCGATAATTACCGGTCGATAACCCGTTGCATACCGGACCTACATCGTTTATGTATTAAGCCCATGGGAGAAGAGATAATTCAGTCAGCAATGTGTTAATTAAGCTTACACTATGAATATGATGGACAAAGAAAGCGGACAAAATAAACAGTTCCTCAGGTAGACAAAGGAACATCCTTTCACTGCTATTATGTAAAAATGTGTAGAACAGGTGTCACATGCATACTCACCTGTTCTACACATGTTTACATAATAGCAGTGAAAGGGATGTTCCTTTGTCTACCTGAGGAACCGTATATTTTGTCCGCTTTCTTTGTCCGTCATATTCATAGTGTTATTGGGTCAAAGTCTGAGTGGAGTGCAAACATGGTGGGGATGTTTTAATGATTATTTAATCATTGAATTGAATTAGAAAGGAAAGTCTGTTTGCAGGCATGTGTTTATATTGGCACGATTCTCATGCAGTCTGTATAGGAATGCATGTATGTGTAGCACATAAAAGTAACATGTATTGCATTTAAATACGTTTGTGTGGAATAAATGAAATAAATTGAGTTCCTTTCTGGCCAATATTGTAGAGTAAATACACTTTTCACAGGGTGGCAGGATTACGTTGTTATTTGTTGACTACCGGTATGCATTGAAAAAGAGGATAACGTGAAATTAAAATACCCCCAATATACCTTGAATATACCTTGAAGGCCACACTTCGCCATCGAAGTGATGAAGATCCCTAGATAGTGTGGTGTGGCAGGGTTAAGGGGGTCCCATGGGACCCATTTTAAAACCCAGGTTGGATAATTGTCGCTTGAATCTGAGGAGTGTGGGAGCATCAATGGCAGTTTGTTGCAGCATGTTCCCCTTATTTACAACTCTCTGGCTATAGAAATTTTTCCTGATGTCAAGGCGGCTTCAATGCTCATCAACATTTGAATGGCCAGATGCCCCATTTCGCAATTTTCTTTCAGAGGCTTATTCATTGTTAAATGGCTGTGCTCACTCATATATAAATGGTGTGGTTTCAATTGCAGATCGTCTTAAAAAGAGGTTTTTTGTTTTTTTTTAATATGAAAGATATTTTAAATTCAATATTGGTTTGAAAATCTAAACTATAAACAGTATCCACTTTTTTTTTGTGGAGTGAAAATGAATAGATGAATGAATGAGAGAAATTTGTAAAGTGTCATCCTATTTGATCACTCTTTTCAGCCCTGTACAACAGTGCTCATCTGGCGACCATACAATCAAGTACAGATTGCTGTTGCAAGGCAAGATTTGACACCATCTACTGTCCTGATGAACTAGCAAGGAAAGGTGTTCAGGTATGTTTCTCCTGCTCTTCAATAGCTCCCCTATTATTCTGAGATATCAAACTATTTATTGAGATTTAAGCGACTTGGACATGAAACAGATTGCAGTTTGTAAGGCAAGAATTGATACTATCTGTCCAGATGGACTAGCAAGGAAAGGTGTTCAGGAGTGGTCCCCCACTATTCAATTTGTAATAATAACAATAATGATAATGACGACAATGACATCAACAGCAACAACATAAAAAATAACTACAATAACAGCAACAGCAGCAGCAACAATAGCAGTAATGATGACTCCTTGCACCCGAACATAAATTCTCTTGGGGGCCCTTGTCAAAGCGGAATGGCCAATACGTGACCCTCATAACCATGTGGAGAGTGGATTAATGTCTTGCCATAGGCGTACTATGCCTGCCCGGCTGGGATTTGAACCCTCGACCCTTTGGGTGATTCTCAAAGAAAGGGTTAAGTTTTTTTTTACTAGACAGACATTATCTATCTTGTGGGCTCTCAGTCTCGAGGGTGGTTAGGTCTACTAGGATGTTCTGGTTTTTAAAACCATTTGTCACTGACTATAAGTAGCTTTGAATGTTCCTTGATTAGATCGTTAGTTAGACATCCCAATTTTAGAATCTTTTGGTGATAGTTCATTTTCACATCCTGAACTGTACCTGTGGAATCAGTTGCCCTAGGACATTCAAAACATATGTAGGTTGCTGTAAAATGCCCTCAAAGCTCATCTGTACAATCTTGCTTTCCAGTAGGTCTTCATGTTTGTATTTTGTAAGTTGTTTCATTCTTTACTTTCTTTTCTTCTGCATCCCAAGCACATTAGCCATAAGGAGTTGCTTGTGTTATGAGCTGCAGATTTCCCTCTTAATCATCATGTTGGAATATTTTTTTTATTTTCTTATTTGACTCTGTAGATACCTCAGCAGGACTACACTGCAGCCATCTCCTCCATCCTGGACGCTCCCAAGATGAGATGGTACACCCTGTGGTACAACCGTCTCTTTAGCTCCCTCGTCTGTGCCGTCATCACCGCCCTCATCATCGTGGGCGTGGTCGGTAACCTTAGTAACTTCCATAACAAGGAGTCCGGTGGTCTCCATGTGGGGATCTCCCTCCTCATCGCCTTTGTCCTGTCCGCGGTGGTAGTCGGTCTCCTGCATCTTATTGTCTTCTATGAGAAGAGAAAGGTGAGTCTTCAATGAGGGATCCTTAGCCCCTTTGGTTTCACTATTAAAGTTTATGTTATGATAGTAATAATAATGATAATAACGATAATAACGATAATAACAAGGAGAAGAAGAAGAAAATGGAGGATGAGGAACGAGGAGAAGGAGAAGAAGAGGTCCAATTATATAGTACAGCTATATGTATATAACCTACGGTGCTTGAATGAATGAATGAATAATCAAGAGTAGAACTGTGCCTGTTTCATTTATTGTTTCATTGTCTGATATTAAAGGCCCTAAAACATCTGTGGAATCACCTTGATATGTACATGCACGTGCACTTTCTCTGAAATTTACCTTCAATGTTATTTAATTTTGCGAAAAAAAAATCGTTTAGTGTTAGAACTTGCTTTTAAGATGTCAGAATATTTATTTATCACCATATGGAATGCAAATTTGAGCTGACAACTGCCTTTCCTTTTGTTTCTTATCTTTTCTCAGTTGAATGGTTTAATAGAGGCTAACCTGTCCCGTGCTAACATGATCTTCTGTAAGCACAACATCCTGGTCGGGATGACCGATAGATTCAACTGGTGCTGGAATAGAGCTGTGGTATCCTTTCAAACGAAGAGTAAAAGTAAAAGAAGCAAAAGTTATGAGGGAGTGGTGTTAATGTAGCTCTGAAAAGCTTTAATAGAGATCCACAAAACTCAAAGAGAGATCTGGTCGACAACAAAAAAGGAGTACCTGTATATCAAAATGAGAGGCACCATCTCTCTTATTCTAAAACAATTATTTACACTATTATTTATACGGAAAGAGAAGATAACTAAACTGAAGTGCATATGAATGGTATTCAGTGGGATTTGAAGTATTGGTAATAGTAATAATGGTTGTAGAATTAAAATGTATTCGTAGAAATGGTAAAGAGTTTTTATACTGTAACTGTCAACTATATATGTAAAGCAATTTGTACTAAAAGTTCATATGCAGAAACATCTGCAATAATCCAAAAGCAGAAATCCCTCCTAGAGATATAAGGAAAAACAGCATGTGATTTCAATGAATTGAAGTGATGGACTTCATTCTATGGTGATCTTTAAAGCCCTTTTGCACTAGTTTGACCAGGAGGGATTAGACCTCCCTGCATGGTCACTGACAGGTGGTTAACTTATCAAATAAGCTCAATTAACATAAGAAAAAGAGGATCATGGGGGACCAATGGTCACCGATTAGGCATTGTTTGCTATATAAGGGCGCAAGTAGCTATAAGTAGTGCAGTTGGGCTTTAAGTGTGAGTTTAAGATAGCTGAAGCATGTTTTTCTTGAATGTTATTGATGGATTCTCTGTTAATTGTGATACCTATTTTGTCTTAACTTATCACAATATCAGCTCCACTTCATATACTTTGATTTGACAGACTGTAGGGTGAGTGTACATTTCATTCTTTATTTTTTATTTTTTTAAAGAATCCTAGGCTTCTTCAGAATTTTTCTAAAATTTGTCTAAAATTTACTGAGAAGAAAAATGCAATGAGCACATTGGAAAGTGTTAAGTGATATATTGATAAGTTTTTTGACTGAATATGAATTATATAATGTGTTTGCAGGAGATAAGAAAGAGAAATGGAAAGCAGAGTCTATACCTCACAACAACAACAAAGTTTGTAGAAGTCCCCATATTTGTGGTCTGCTTGTCCGTCCATTGCTGATACTAAAAAAAGAATGTATGCTTTGTCCGAAGTCTTATTTCAGAACAAGTCTTCAACTTTTATTAAAGGGGTTATTAAACTAGATATCTTCTGGTTCATTAAATTGCATCTGAAAAATGTATAATTGATTTTTATTGTTTGATCATGACAGAAAGAGATGATACAGTTCTTGAGTGACAATCGCGTCAGAGGAGATGGAGATATGGGTTTAAATCAGGTATGTATGAAAGAACTCTTTGATTGCATGGGTACAGGTTTGTGGTGGTAATGATGATGATGGTGGTGGTGGTGGTGGTGGTGGTGGTGGTGGTGGTGTGGTGGTGGTGGTGGTGGTGGTGGTGGTGGTGGTGGTGGTGGTGGTGGTGGTGGTGGTGGTGGTGGTGGTGGTGGTGGTGGTGGTGGTGGTGGTGGTGGTGGTGGTGGTGGTGGTGGTGGTGGTGGTGGTGGTGGTGGTGGTGGTGGTGGTGGTGGTGGTGGTGGTGGTGGTGGTGGTGGTGGTGGTGGTGGTGGTGGTGGTGGTGGTGGTGGTGGTGGTGGTGGTGGGGATGATGATGATGTAGAGGAGGAGGATGATGATGGTGGTGGTGGTGGTTGTTATGGTACTAATAATGAGGAGGAGGAGGATGATGGTGTTGGTGTTTATGTGGAGGATGATTGATTATAATGATGGTGGTGGTAATGATGATGATGTTGAAGAGGAGGAGGATGGTGGTATTGATGAAGAGGAGGAGGAGGAGGAGGAGGAGGAAGATGTTGATAATGGTGATGATGATGTTTATGGTGACAATGCTTGATCATAATACTGCTGATGATGATGATGTTGATAATGGATGATGATGGTGGTGATGATAATGATGTTGATGATGCTCCATAGGATGATACAACAATAATTCTTTTCAACAATATCTTCCATTCCAGAACTCATCCGTAAGCGTTGAAATGCTGCCCTCATCAGGGGGAGATGGAGATGATACAACCCGGCTCACCATAGACACCAGACTACGGACATTATCTCCACAGACTCTCATCGCAGACACAGACCCAAGATCAATAGCGGTAGGTCTATTTCTAGTTTCAGAAACAAGGTTCTAGGATAATTTGCTAATTATCTTTATTGATCGTGGTAGGATTAGTAGGGGTAGAACAAAATCATTAACTTAAGTTGCCTTGAAGGATATCACAGTTTCATTGAAATGAAAGATATGAAGGTAAGGTTGAAGAAATTTTACGAAAGGGAAAGCCAAGAATCTTGGAAAATACAAAAACCTCCAATGGAATTAGAGTTTCAAGGGTATGTAAGAATTCTAATGAACAAATAGATGAAAGAGCAGATGAAATTATGAAAGTGACTACTGGAGTGGGAAATGTCGGAACAATACAGTCAAACCTGCTTTAGTGAACACTTGTCTTCAAAGACCACCTGTCTACAGAGACCACTTTTTGTGTTTCCATGGGGCAGTTGCTATAGACAGGTTCGACTGTATTACATTTTACTATAAGGCATGTTTCTGAAAAATGAAAGTCGGTTCTTTCTGGACAGTTATATGATTACCACTTTTTCATGTATTTCAGCCCTCCATCAAGGTCATACTTGTTTACATCCAAGTCAATAATGGTCTCATTGGAGAATTGATATCTAGCCGTTCTGTGACAAGTTTGTTTACAATGTTTTTATTTGTCTGCTTTTATGTTCCTCTGCTAGATTTTCATCACATTGTTTGTACATGATGTACTGCATGAAACCTGTCTATAAAGACCACCCAAGGGAGACAAGAAAAGTGGTCTCTAAAGGCAGGTGGTCTTTATGTACAGGTTCTTTTAGTACATGTTTCAATGAGAAACAATTTTCCAGGGAAACAAAAAATGTGGTCTTTGTAGACGGGTAGTCTTTCTATACAGGTGGTCACTAAAACAGGTTTGACTGTATTTAAAGGCCGTCTGTATGAGTTTGGCTAGGAGGGATTAGACCACCCAGGAAGGTCACTGACAGGTGGCTATCTCATCAACTCAGCTCTCAATTAGCATAAGAAAAAGAGGATCATGGGGGACCAATGGTCACCGATAAGGCATTGTTTTCTATATAGAGGGAGCAAGTAGCTACAAGTATTACAGTGGGCCTTTAATATTTTCTTTCACTCTGTACGATCTCTACACAGGAGGAAGCAGAACTGTACCTCATGCAGCACAGTGCACCGTATATCAACAAACTACTCAAAAAGCAATTGGTGGGACCGTTGCGAAAGAGACATTGTAGAACCACGGTTTGCCTTTGTCAATTCACCCAGAAGACGGTCTTCTGCGCTCCCGTGTAACGTTAACTTGAAGTTGGCACAATCTCATTCAACGTGTGTGGCATCTTCATTTCATTTGAACTAATAGGTTTGATTGTTGGATACAATATTAAAGGTTATCATCGCCGTCACCATCCTTTAGCGTCCGTTTTTCACGTGCCATGGGGTTGGACATTTCATTTCCCTTCTTGCACTTCTCCAGTGAATAAAGTCCACAAGGAGATGTAAGTGTTAAGTATCTGGGCACTGTGTGTTCGATTCATAAGGGTTTACGGTAGATTTTTTATGAGATAGAAAGTATTGCAATGTGTTAATTGTGCCTTTTTTGTCAATAATTGAATTGGATTTTGCTACGATAACTCTGTTGCTCGATCATTTGTGAATATGTGAGCACGATATATAAATTTAGGAATATGGTATATGTACAGTACTCGGATATAGCAGATGTATAACTATTTCTTCTTGTGTTTATTCCATCGAATGGAAACTTTTGAAGTACTAAATGTAATCGTTGATGAGAATCTGTGTCTATTCTCTCTTCTATAATGCTTTTTCTACAGGATTTCCTTTGAGAGAATTTGTTATCGTTTTGTTTTGTTTGTAGCATTTTTCAATGTTGCGGTGGTTTATTTGACTGTTTTTACTTTGCTAGAATGTGCATTTGTTTAAATATGTGTCTATTACACCCCAATACATTAGAAAAGCTCGATCAATATGAATTTTGTACAACTATTCTTGTGTATAATAAGAATGAGCAGGTATTATCATTATTGCCAAAGTACTATACTCATGGGGGTATGTTTGTGCCATTTTGCTCAATACATAGAAAGGATAAAGAAAATGAGAAAAGTTGTTCAGAGAGTTGATTGAGAATGGAAAAAATGGAGATTCAGCATCCTATTCTACATGTGAATTATTGACCAAACGTGGACTAAGATTATTGCCTAACAAAATTTAAAAAGATGTTGGAGATAGTAGTGGTTTTGACAAAAAGTTATATTCTCACATAACTCTCACATAAAATTGGCACTTAACTTTAAAAACAACAATTAAATGGTACCTGACGAATATATGTGATAAATAACGTAGCTCAGTAATGATTATAGATTGACCAAGAGACTGACCAAATGATTGTAAAAGAGATTGTAGCCGTGTGATAATTATTAACTGACCGAAAGAGAATGTATTATTCATAGAATCTATTAGTCTGTATGCGCACATTTTGTTTGGTACAATTGAGGGGTTTCTCATTTTTTTGCAATATTCATACATTTTGTAATATTGTATAACTTTATTTCAGTGGTGGTTATTTACCTGACAGCTAAGAAAGCATACCAGAGGACCGACGGCTTTAGGTCCTCTCAGAGAGACCTGGTAATGAGGATTAATGCCTTACCAAAGGGCACTAGCATTGCACTAGCGCATCGCCTTGGTTTCAAACCTCAAACTTTGCCTGATAGAAACATTGCTAAAATGTTAACTTTTTGCCTGCTTTTGTCAATTTTAATGTGGAACAAACTAGGATCACCTACATCAACTTTTGACACAAGTACAAGGTGTATTAAATGTGATATCCAAACAGTAAGGAGGACCAGGCACACAATGTGTAGCAAACAAAGTTTTATATAAACAGATGAAAGTAAGTTGTTATGGAGAAACGACATGGCAATTTTCCCCTGTAGTATGTAAAACTCTCACAAGCTTATTTTCTAAAAAGAGAAGAAAAGAATAGACAGATCGCAGACAGTGTCTCAGAAAGTACAGTTTCTTTAAATATCATGACTTAGTCTTGACTTCTTAAACAAATATTTAGCCAAAGATATACAAGTATTAGTCTACATGTAGGCCTAGCTTCCACGTAGAATGAGTTTTCTCTCGTTTTGAAGAAAATTTGATGAATTATATTCTGCTAGACACTAGTATTTCTCATGTTATTTGCACATATAGTTTGAGTATAGTCTGACTCTGTCCTCAACAGGTGTATACTGGATTAAGAATATATTAACTCTTGGTCACAAATGCCATTACGAACTGCTACGAACGCCGTACGAACGATTTTCAGACAATGGAAACTCGGGAAGACAATGGGAAAACAGAGATTTTTACGAACTTATTGTTCGTACGAAGCTTTGACCGTAGCATAAGACTGCACCCTCCACCTGTTTCTCTCATCCAGTGTTGAGATCAAAAAAGGATAATCAGAATATATATATATATATATATATATATTCTTATTCAAAATCTACTTGAAACCATGTTAATTTAGCATGGAAACATACAGTCCGTAACTTTGCCAATATATGTGACACGTGCCAACTGTATTCCAAAACAAAATGCATTAAATGTAAAGCTGTTTATTTGTGAATTTGTAAGTACTACATTTAAGCCAACATCAGATTCAATCATTAATGTTCAAGAAGTGACAGATATCTTCTTTTGTGCGTTCTTAACTTCTTATGAACCTGTACTATATATGCAGTACTGAGCTGGAAAGCTATTCAAATTAAATCCCAAAAAAAGATGAATAACTTCAAAGACCAAAGCGTAAAAGAAATAACTTGGAGAGTATTTATGAAAGTTAATAAGTAGTTCATTATTACTTCTTGGTTTTGTGAAGAAGGAACTTCACATTTTCATTTTGATCCAATTTAGAAAATGTTGAACCACTCTGAACTAAAATAGTGGCATTTTTTCATTATGTTAGAGACATAATGTGATAGATTTAGAGTTTCTTTCAATGTTATTATTAGCAAATCCTATTCAAAAATGGGTATCTTCATATATTTAATCTATCTGGATATCCATACAAGTTTATCAAGAACTTATGATGTCTTTACAAATATAGAAACAACTTCCTGTTTTTTTTTGCAGTTGGAAAATTGGATAAAGAAAAACAAAGGCATTTCTTTTTTTTTTTTTTTTTTTTTTTTTACTGAACTTTGATTTGTGAGTAGAATGTATGCCATGTAAATGGAATTAAATTGTTAATTTGCGTGTATTTTGTAATCAACTTTTATAACTTAAGATGCCCCACCTCTGTTTGCTTTTTATGTACATATAAGTTTGTGTTCCTTTTTCAATATTTAATATTCATGCTGCTTATTAGATAGATAGTGTTATCATAGTTGTGTATATATTTTGCTTCCTTTTTGTGAATTTAGAAATTATTAGTAATTTAGCAATAAATAATCAGATTTATTTGCATTTTCTGAAATTGAGTTATAGATTGCATCTAGCTTTGAATTGGTTAAAATAATCAAATGAGGACATTCATATATATATATAAGCATTGAAAATTCATACTTTTGCATGATGCCATATTGTAATGAAATTCTTTGATATATCATACTCTTCTAAAGAGATGGATAATAACAATTTGATATATTGCAATAGATTAACGAGGAGGCATGGACTATAAATGGTGAGAGGTTCATCTTATAATTGTTTAAAGATATACGTAGTAAGATTTTTTTTGTGGGGGGGGGGGGGTAGTGATCCACCTATTGGCATAAACAACAGTTGATCATTTGATTCTATACCAACTCATATTCTATGATGTATTGTTCAACTAAATACTAGTATGAATATTTAAGTCTTGTTTTTCTTAGCTCATGATACCCCCGGCCGAATCTTAAAATGCAAGAATGATGGTGATGTTTTTGTAGCCTTTCAACTAATGCACTGGACTTTCATGGGCAAGTATACCGTAATCAAACTTGTAACATTTGGAATGAAATATCACACTAAATCGACACTAGATAATGCACTAAAAAACATGTCATTGCATGTGCATAAAAGATTTTATAGAAGGTATTGGTATACTAAAATCCCAGTTCAAATAGTTGTTAAAGCTGTTTGGGTTTTATTTTTACTTGTCTTGGACGCTGCATTAGTCCCGGCCCCCCACTCAGTGTTATTTAGGGTACACATATGCTCGTTCCTTCTTTTTGAAAGCACCCCCCTATCTGAGGACTGCCAACATTTCCGAACCCCCCTTTCGCGGGCTTTTTGCGGGCTTTTCCTGCCTTGGAGACCCCCCTAAATCATGAAAAATGCTCAATGTACCCCCCTAAATTCGGAATAATTTCTCAGGAGTCAAAAGAGACGAGAGAAAAAAAGAAAAAACACCCCCTTTTTAAAGAAATCTCCGGGAGAAAAGTTAATACACCCCTTTTTTTACAATTCTTGGGCCGGACTTTGTCGCACGAAAAGTACCCCTTTACCGGACATTTTGGTAACATGCATGGGGTCATTCCAACCCCGGAGTGTGGGGGCCGGGGCATTAGTGCCCTGAAATGGCTATCAACATGCAGGTCATCTGTGTTAGTTTAGAATGTAATTTTTTTTCAATTTGGGGAAGAAATGTCAAGTCATATAGTCAGATGGACACACATATTGATAATTATTGATTATCTAATCAAAAGGAAATGTTACATTCATTCATTTATAATTGATGCTGCCAACATTTTGTATAGTTTTTATTCTCAGGCGAACTTTTATACACTCCCACATTTCTAGCTTTTGTCTTCATGTATTTCTGTGAAACAACTCAACTATTTAGTTACATTATAGTAACAGTTTTTTGTATTCCAGTTTTGATTGATTGCTGGTTTGGTTGACCTGAATCTGATATGAGTTGATAGTCTTGACTTATTTTGTTATGAATATCTTAAGAGTGATGATCCAACTGTTAAAGTGAAAATATTAATGGTACTGGATATTCTTCTCTGACATATATCATCAAATAAGGATGAATGATACATTTGTAATTTATGAGTATCTCATTCCCTCCAAAATGAAGCCATACTGGTACAAAAAAAAAAAATACTCCTGTTGAGACAAGTTATTGTGCAAAATTTCGCTCATAGATATTCTTTGGGCGACCAGAAAATCTCATGTTATGTGTTTTAGAAGTAAACAAAATGAAAACAAAGTAACAAACATTTGCAGCAAACAACAGATGTGCCTGTACATGTGCAGAACAAAAAGAAAGAGGGAAAGAGGAAAAACAATAACACAAAGTTAGTTTGCTTCTTTAGTTTGCTTAGATACGCCCCCAATTATAACACATTTATTATCCATCTGTAGTTGTTGCCTTTATGAAAATGTAGTTGGGGAAAACATAATGAAATATCATTTGGGAAACATTGAAATGCTAAAAACTTTCTGTACTATATGATACTGCCTTATATTTCATATAAAATCCGGAAATTTGTTTCTGTCTCCATGCTTTTTCTATGATTGGGGTTTTTGGAAAACAATGTCGCCATGTAGTACTCATGCAATAAAGATTTATTTATCATCTTTACATGAACTTCATTGCCTGTTGAGTGTGTGCTTTCTGTAACTGTTATGAGTTTAAGTAAATGGAAAACCTCTGCTACTCTTAATGATTTACTGACATCAATGTAGGGTTATTTACCAAATGCTTTTAAAAGCCTTTTTGATGAAAGGGGGGGGGGGGGGGTTCGAAGGTACATGGGGTCAACTTAAAGATGAAGTTGGGTTCTGGTCATGTGATTGCATTGTGAAAGAAACAGTGTGGAATCGACCAGAAAAGGTTGATCATCTAGTATATAATAATTTGTGTGTATTGCAAGGTTCTGGAATCATCAAAATAATCAGAAATTTGACCAAGTCTTGGTAAAGTTACAAACACTGTACACAGAAAGCTGTATTTGGGACTACACAAACACGTGGCGTAAAAATCCTACCCCCGAGTTTTACGATGTTACATGACATATTTAGAATATGAAGGCATTTGAAGAGCCATGCTTTTCAGGTAACATGTCTTATCTGATGTTCTTCCACACTTGCATAATAAGAATGATAACTCTCACAAATTATTTTTCACCTCTTCCCAGAACTCAACCTTCTCTTTAACTGTCTACGTTATTCCTGACAAGCAAAAAACAACCCCCCCCCCCCCAATAAAAAAAAAAAAAAAAAAAAAAAAAAAAATGAATACAAATAACTAAATAATAATAAAAAAAATTAAAAAAAATAAAAAAAATATGTATGTATATCTAAGCCTCATCAAGAAGCAATCCAACTTCTTGCACTCCTCATCATCAGGTCGGTCACAATCATCGGCGGTCATGGCCCTCCAGTTATATCTGTTAAATTGCTATTCTTAAAATCCTGGTATTGCTAATACAATTTTGGTTGCCCATTTGTTCAGGCTTTGCCAATAATTATGTGAGGCGTTATTACCTCCCCCTGCTAATATTTCCATCAAACTTCTATGTTAATATTGTTTTTTTGTGTAGAGTATCCTTTCTGTATATTGACCGACAAAAATGCTTTTGCCTCTTTCTTATGTCAGTTTGTTGACGAGTGATGGTTTTTACTCTTACTTTTCTAAACACTTCTTCATTTTTTTCTTTTCTGGTCGTGATATATTTACAATCTTTCCAAAGAACCTGGGACCAGCTTCTTGAAACCGTCAGTTCATGGGCGTTCCAGAGAAAACGTGGAGTCTATAACACAGATTTTCAAAGGGATGTCCAAGGAAATGTTAGACTCATGACAAATTCGAGAAAGGGACCCCAGGTCTCTGGCGCCTCTGACCATATATAATTTCTTGCACTACCATGTGATGCTTTTCTTCTTCTTCTTCTTCTTCTTCTTCTTCTTCTTCTTCTTCTTCATTTTCTTCTTCTTATTATTATTATTCTACTCCTTCTTTTTTTCTTCTTCTTCTCCTCCTTTTCCTTCTCATCCTTCTTCTTCTTCCTCTTCTCCTTCTCCTTCTCCTTCTTCTTCTTCTTCTTCTTCTCCTCCTTCTCCTTCTCACTCCTTCTTCTTCTTCCTCTTCTCCTCCTTCTCCTTCTTCTTCTTCTTCTCCTCCTTCTCAGCCTCTTTCTCCTTCTTCTTCCTCTTCTCCTTCTCCTCCTCCTCCTTCTTCTTCTTCTTCTTCTTCTTCTCCTTCTCCTTCTCAGCCTCTTTCTCCTTCTCCTTCCTCTTCTCCTTCTCCTCCTCTTTCTTCTTCTTCTTCTTCTTCTTCTTTTTCTTCTTCTTCTTCTTCTTCTTCTTCTTCTTCTTCTTCTTCTTCTTCTTCTTCTTCTTCTTCTTCTTCTTCTTCTCCTTCTTCTTGATCTCCTCCTGCTGCGTTTTAAGTTATTCAATATTTTGAGGTACAAATAATTCATTTTCAGAGAGATTAAAGCCCCACTGTCCTACTTGTAGCTACTTGCTCCCTCTATATAGAAAACTTCCCCAATCGGTGCCTGTTGGTCCCCCATGATCCTCTATTTCTTATGTTATTTGAGAGCTGAGTTGAGATATATAGCCACCTGTCAGTGACCTCGCAGTGTGGTCTAATCCTTCCTAGCCACACTAGTGTTGATTAGCTTTAAAAGAGTGAGAGGCAGTAAATAATGGATTCGGAGCATGTAAAATATAGGCAATTCCGTCGGGGGGGGGGGGGGGGGGGTGCCGATTTCTTGCCCGAATACCACCCTTCCATATATTCTCTGCCTTTTTTTTACCGGTTGCCCTACAGAAGTGATGATTTCAAAATTCGCGGTGTGGGAGGGGGGGGGGGGGGTGCAATCCTCAGTCAGCCTGTCATCTAATGATTGAGAGACTAGAAAATATGATGCTTATATAGAGGAAAAGAGGATAGAGCGGAATGATCGAGAGAGCTAAGAAAGATGTAGGAGGGAGAGAGAAAGAGAAATAGAGAAAATCTGAAAAAGTTAGATATAATATTCTTCTAAATATACTTTAATAAAGATTCACTTAAAGACACATTGTTAAAATTTCTGTCTACTTTTCGTTTATCTCATTTCCACAATTTTCTTTCAAGTTTGTAAAATTAAGCTTCTATAAACGCTAAACTAGGTCGTCCCAGAAAAAAATTAGACGCATACCGGAAGTAGTGTTAGTTCACATCATTCATCATAGGTTTTCGCGGGAAACGTACGCAGGTTCTGCAAAATCCACACACACATTGTACACAAACACATGAATTCGCATGTGGGGCAATGGGATTGAATTGAATGGAGTCCAATTGAATTTTGGTACGCTTTTGTGAGATGTGAATGTCGTCATGTCTAAGCTGTCAAATGACTAGGAATTGCTGTATTTACTTCCACAGTGCTCTGAACATTATAGCTATCATAATTACTAGAAGCGAGGACTCATTGTGATAAAAAGTTGGTGAGTTAGCTAAATCATGGTCACTCTTTTCAATGAATGACAGGGGGAGTCCCACGTGTGTAATTTCATGGTGGTAAAACCATGTTTGACTTTGAGATTTGAACATTCTTCAATTTGGAAGATGTGCCATTTAATTTCTAGTTGATTGAAGTAACAGTATCTGTACCATATTGTTACTAATGTAATATGAATTTTACATCTAAGTTAGAGTCTATGAAATTGTTATTGTCATTCACATTTGATTTGTAATTTTGTAGTTTTGTAATTTCAACTTTCTGTATTTTAAAGTTTTGAAATTTCGATC